TAATAATATGTTATAATAACGGTATAACAAGATTCGGAAAGCTGAATTTCTTGAATTTTACATTCGTTTAAGAATGTTTAAATGTGTTATACATTATAAATAAGACATATACTTCAACTTTCAAAAGACTTCAACAAAAACTCCTTAAACATTTCTTTTATATCTCCAATTTTTTTTTTTTGATTTATGGAAACCAAATTTAGGCTATTAGTTTTAGTTTATAGGATTTTAAAGTCCTGTAACGTTGCATGTAGTTCAGTGGAGCCGTTTAAAAGTTAACATTTTTGAGAATTTTTGCTAGTGAACATTTTCTATTCAATGTTTTTATGGGATGCATAAAACGAAAATTTGAACCTACTTTGCTACGTCCTCAGTCAATACGTCGAAATTGTATTTTGCAACTGGCTATCATGGCAAGATCTTGGGGTTGAAATCTTAAAAAAAAACTTTCCTAGAATTTTTATTCATTTTTTACAAACCGGTTGTCTGCTCTGGGTTTTCTTCAATGATATTGAGTCGCACAAATGAACCATTTCTAAGAACTAAATGCAACAAATAAAATCATAGGAATGAATTTTTTTTTAAAACTTTTTATTTGTTTTTTACAACTTCATTCTTCGACGCAACAAGTAAAACAGATAGTATTTACATATAAAATTATTAACGGTAGCGTGAAAGCTTGAACAATTACCATCCAGTGATGGTAGCAGTTAGTTAATCAATACGATGAGCGAGATGTACTCCATCGTAGGAGACCGATGTCAATTTTTAAGGTTGTCGCGGGGTCACCGACGCTTCAGTCTTCTGTTGGGATTATTAGTTAATGTGGTGGATGACAGGTTTTTGACGAAAGGGTTCGGATGATGGAGTAGTTCGGAATGGAACGTCTTGTAGCGGGATTGGGCTAGCTCGGTAACAAAAGGGACATTTAGGTCGGTATGGATCGTGTGATTGGATACAAGAAAGGGGCTTGTACTATTGTTCTGAGGATTTTAGATTGAAGGGATTGGATTCGATTGAGGTTGGAACGCTTAGCAGTACCGTAAAGTTAAGTCTCTGTCCAAATGGGGGCCAGGAGGGCAATGTAAGTTTTCTTTTGTTTGTTAGTGAGAGTTTTGATCGTCTGTCGAGTAGTCGTTTAAGTATGAAAAATCTTATATTACAGTCTGTGCGCTTAAGCAGTGTATGGGGGTTCCACGTCAGTCGTTTGTCCAGGTGGAGTCCGAGGTATCGTACATGGTTCGCAATTGGGATGGGAACGTTGTTGAGATATACTGGTGGGAGTGTTTTCTTGTTTAGTGTAAATATTATGTTCGTTGATTTGGTTTCGTCGATCTTGATTCTCCACCGACGGAGCCAGCATTCTAGGGTGATTTAGAAGATTACGGGAAGTAGTGACAGGATCTTTATCAGGATTGCGGTATCATAGGCAAAGGTGAAGGTGATGTGTTAGGTGGCGTAGGTAGGTCGGAGGTATAAATTGAATAAAGGAAAGTAGCGAGCACGCTGCCCTGTGGGACACCTGCAAGAATAGGATGGATAGGAGACAATGAATTTTTGTGGGATACTTGGAAGTAACGATCCTTAAGATAGGATTTTAGGATAAGGTACTAGGTTGTTGGTAGGATGTTCTTGAGCTTCCACAGCAGCCCAGAGTGCCATACTCGGTCGAAGGCTTGGTGTATATCCAAGAACACACCCGGGCAAGGAATGAAATGAAGACCTTTTTATTTTCAACAAAATTGGTATTTAGGGTTTTTTGAAAATACAAAATTTACCTGCTTTGTTATGTACTGAGTAAAAATTTCAGTATTTCAATGGGTACCTGGAATTCGCTCGCTCACGGATCGATGTTCATATTTTTGGAAAGTAGTATGTAAGTTTTTGTAAAAATGACATGAAATTTAAGTGGTTAAAGTGAATCCGATTTATTTAAAAAAAAGTTGTCTATTTGATTGTAATAGTTTTATTTTTTATTTATTTTGTCTTCATTTTTCTCACTTCTGTTTGGCTTTTAATCGAAGTGATATTAGCACATGGAAGTAGATACATAACGCTTTCCAACGAACATAATCACATTTGGGTGATTAGATCTTCTAGGCCATATGGAGCAATAGAAATGATGGAGTGAGTGTGGTGTTCAATGCTTTTTAAAAGGATAGTTCCTACTCACAGTAAGTTGTTTTGCAACTTTATCCGGATTTCGAGCGTTTTAGCTCATCATCAGGTTGAAGGACTTCTACAACCACGTCTCTCGACATGAATTGCCAAAGGGGGCGTCGGTGGCCGCAAGGTTTAGTCATTGACACGGCGCTCATCTCTGTAAGGTAAAGGTCCCGGGTTCGAATCCAGCGGCCCTGCATTCGAACCCGACATACTTACAAATGGGCTTTTTTTTCAAAAACACCGGCACCCTCAGGGTTTATATGACCTCTGCTGTTGCGAACCCTCGTAAAAAATAAATAAATAAATAAAAAAATTGCCAAAGTGAACCGCTGATACCTCCGCCCACGCGACGTTCCAATTATCAGCTGATTTTTTTAATGACGCTCAATTTGAACGTGCGAAACGCGGAAATTATAACACACAAATACTTGCCTAAATCGAGCAAATTTTCGGAATTTAAGGACCATCTAAAAGAAACAAAACATAATTTCAATTCAAATTTAAATACAAGAGTGTTACATAGTTTCAACAACGGGAAAGAACTAGATTGGTTTGAGAAATTTGAAATTAAAAAATGTAAAATTGAACATGGTGATAAATGCATTAATAATATAACAGATTTTGATCTACCTCCCATTTTAAATATGTACATAAATAATATCAAACATCCAAATAATTAACCTAATTATTTTAATTGTTATTATTTTTATAGTAATTTATAGTAATATTAAGTATTTATTATTGTATTATTTATTTGTGTTATAATTTCCGCGTTTCGCACATTCAAATTGAGCGTCATTAAAAAAAATCAGCTGATAATTGGAACGTTGCGTTGGCGGAGGTATCAGCGGCTCACTTTGGCAATTCATGTCGAGAGACGTGGTTGTAAAAGTCCTTCAACCTGATGATGAGCTAAAAGGCTCGAAATCAGGATCGTTGCAAAACAACTTACTGTGAGTAGGAACTATCCTTTTAATGAGTATTGAACACCACACTCACTCCATCATTTATCATTTCTATTAATCCACCAATCATTTTTTGTTTTTGGGAAATTGCGTAGAATTTAATTTAACAACAAAAACTGATAAACCTCGATAATCGGCTTTGGGAGGAACTATGATGATAATAAAATTTACTTGTTCCGAAACTATTTTATAATGAGCGAAGTTTTGTAACCATTTGTGAGTTTAATTTACAAACACATATCTGTTTTCCAAGCATGAAGTTTTGCGAATTTAGTTGCGTCGTGATTCCTGGAATTGTTCGGTCGATTAACCGCAATTGAAGGGTAGGCGAAGTAAGGGAAATTGACATCGACCCTCATGATCAATGCAAATTTACCGGATTCGTAATAAATAATAGATAGAACACGGGATGAGGAAAGTAATTAATAAATTAAAATTTTAATTAGGGAGGACCGCTGTCCAATAACGGACAGGGAATCGTAATGAGATTATCTGTACGGCGTGCGTACCACCCAGGGCGCTCGGAGCCCTCAAAATTTCCATTCAGGCATAAATAATATATCGAATGAGTAATCACACACTCATCATTTAGATAATACTTTAAACCACCATTTGCCTCCCCATTGATCCTTTCTTTCAAAACTATCCCGAAAGGTCAATTTGATAAAAATGGACCGTTTCAAATGAAAATCAGAAAAATTGTCTCGGAATTTTGTTCTACCTCAGAGGTTCATGAAAATAATGGTAATGCCAAAAATTGATTTGTCCTCTCTAATCCACTTTGCTAGTAATGAACGATAATTGAGGTGAACAACTTACAAACAACTTACTGTGAGTAGGAACTATCCTTTTAAAAAGCATATGGAGCAATGCCTCCATATGACATCTAAAAAAAGATCTCATCACCCAAACTTAATTTGCAGCAGGTCGAAAACATCCAAAACGAACATAATCACGTTAAATGTTGATAAAATTCGAAAGAGTTATTAATTTTTTAACTGGAACATTAGACTTTGGAGGAAAATAAATTGCCCCTGGCTATCTTTTCTGAATCTGAATTGCTTTTTCGAAAATCAATTTTTTCACCTACTTTATTGGAATTTTTTTTTTGGTTTTTGTTACTTACATAATATATCTTATCTCATTGAATACAAGACGGTCAATAGGTGACGAGTCAAGAAGGTGCAAGCGACGTAAAAAGGATGAAAGGAGAACAAAAGAAAAACTAGACAGGACGTACAGAATAGTGCAGTTTGCGAGTCATTTATCCAAGTTTATCTATTTTTATTATCCAATAATAATTCATTTTTATTATTTAGTTAATTAAAATATTAAAACAGTCTGGTGGTTACTTTAGTCCCACGTATATTCCTGCATATTATTTTTACATCGTACGTAAATTCACAAATCTAGTGATATAAAATATCCTTGAAATTCATTTACAACAAAGAAAAAGCATGTTTAAAAAGACGTAAATTAAATATTTCTTGACTTTACGGTCCATTGGCAAAAACGCTTGGACACAATCAGATAACTTTCCATGGAGTATCACCAAAAAATGTTTCGTTAAAATCAGTGATCTGATGTCCGTTGAAAAAGAAATCGTGAGTAGATTACATCGCGAAATTATTCAGAAAAAATAACAAAAACAGGCAACCGACAAACATTGTAAACATTTTTTTTCTATGTTTTATTCATTGATGGAATCATTCTGGTTAAGTTGCATAACCTGCTGTGCCCCGGGCTTCATCTCGTGTCGTTAAGTTTCTTGCAAATCGGAAGATACGTTTCTGGTGGGAGAAGAGTCAAGGTCGCCCTCAAAAGCAGTCTCCTCGGCTTAGATCAGTCTCCGCCTCGGTCTCAACTCTTTTAAGTTTCCTTTCGTAAAAGATGAGTGTTTTTGCTGAATAGTTTTAAATATATTTTCTTCCAAGGTGTGGAATGTTCCCAAAAAGAATCCGTTGAGTTTCAAGGTTGCGTACTTCCTTTTTTTCAACCAGTTTTTCCATGTAAATTTTTTTATCTTGTAAAAAATCTATCTGTAAGGTAGAATTTCAACCAAATTTTAATAATTTTCGAAAAGCTGAACTAAAAGTTTACAAAATGATTATGGTCGATTTAAGAAGACCAACTGACAAGAACAAATTGTGGGATTATCTGAAATGAAATTAAAATCGAAAATTTATATGCAATGACCAGTAACAATATTTTTTTAAAATCATACTGTGCAATGTTGGGAAATTAAAGGAACAATTCTAGAAAAAATAATTCAATTAATGAAGCAAGAATCAGCAATTTAAAATAAAGGTTTAATAAAAAAAAATTAACGAGGTACGTGATAAATTTCATATAAACCCCTGAATCGTCATAATTAATCATTTATCATATGGGTGACTGAGGTGTGAAAAAAATAGACTACAAAGAAGTCAAGTTTTTTACAATGCCGTAAAATGGGTGATTTTCTTTTTTCTTTGTACTTCTGTGTTGCGTACGTAATTTCTTATTCCTATATAATAGCCAGTGCCATTTCTAATGTTATTTTTTAAATTTCAAATTAGACCTTTTTAAATTCAAATTAACCTATTGTTATTTCATATTAACGCTTTTAATTTCAGTTAACCCTTTTTAGCTTCAAATTTACCTTTTTAAACTTTACATTAACCCGTTTTTACCTTCCAATTTACCCTTAATTTAAAGCAAAAACTTGCGGGACGATACGAAATATAGGATTGTAAAGTAAATTACTGTAAATTTTGGAATTTTATTTTAACATAAAATAATTGTGCTGTTAGAAGACTATATGCAAAATAATTACAATTAAACTTAATATGTATATAAAATTAAACGTAAAAACAAATGATTTTTCTTTTAATTTGAGTTTTTTTTTAATATAAAATAATTTATTGGGCTGTTACAAAGTACAATTTCTCATATTTCTCAAATTTAAAAGAAAAATCCATTATTTTTATATTTTATTTCCTGTTTTTTAATTTTGATTGCTGCACTTGAAAAAAAACTTTACGAAAAAATTGGGCTGTTAGAAGACCATAAGAAAATTAGTTAAAAATAAAAATTATAATATGGGGTTTGTGGCGGAATATAGAGGACCCCCCCACAGAAACAACAGACTAGGATAGTTATTTTATCGTACTGAATGAATTTATTTATTAGCGTGATTTCTGAATGAATGTTTGTGGGTTTGACTCGAAACATCTATTCTCTATAGAGTACCCCACAGACCCACCAATCTAGGTTAGTTTTATTTAGCGTAATACCCCGAAACCTCCCAAATTGTTAGCTGAGCATTTAATGTTTCTAGTCAGTGTGAATGTATTTATTAGAGTGAATAATAGCGGGTTCTCATCGGAATAACCAGTACCCGAGAACCGCCAAACTTGAGTTAGTCCTCAATACATACTCAAAGGCAAAAAATCTAACACTGGAAGTATTTTGTTGCTTATTTCAAACTGTATTTTTATCGTTACATTAACAACATACTTATTTCAATGCAGACCAAATTAAACGAAATCAGAAATTCGTGAGTTGCAATAATATTTTTTTAATTATGATGTTTTAAAGAAAATTCACCAAAACACCGGAAAATCGTGTAAAAGTAATAGAATAAAATAATAATTTATTACCTGCTATTGATGCTCTTAATAGCGCTTTAAAAAAGGTTAAAATTTGACGGCAAAAAGCTTTACGAAGGATCTTGAAACAAATGGAAATCGAAAAGCTAGATAGTGAGCCAAACATCCTGTGTAGGATGTGCCAAAAAGGGTTAAATCATCAGTAAATATTTTCTGCTGAAAATAAAAGGGTTTCTTATTATTTTCAAAGAAATTCTGAATCTAGTAATGTACCTAAAATGGCTAATTTGAGTTTAAAATAAAAGGTTCATTTAAAATTAATAAGTGTTAGTATGATGCAAAAAAAATGTTAATTGAACGAGAAAAATGGTTAATTTGATGTTAAGAAGGGTTAATTTGACAGAAAAAGGCTCTAAAATCAAAGGATTTTATTATTAATTTGAGTTTTGAAATATTAAATTATTGTTTTATAGACCAAACGTTTTATACTTTCTTAAAAATTCTCAAATAAATAATTATTTTCCTTTACATCCTTATATTTTGTACTATCCCTCAAGTTTTTAAATTATTAAAAGAAAGGATTAATGTGAAATAAAAAAGGATAATTTGAAACTAGAAAGGTTCAATTGGAATTGTCAATTTAAAAACGAAGTTTAATGCAAAAATGGTTAATTTGATGTTAAGAAGGGTTAATTTGACGGAAAAATTGTAGAAAAAAATGATTTTTGAAAAAATATAAAATAATTGTTTTAGACCACTCATTTTATATTTCTTTTAAATTCTCAAATAAATATGAATTTTACGTTACATGCTTATATTTCATATAATATCCTATGTCCTTTTAAATTATTTAAAGAAAAATTTAATTTGAAATGAACTGTTGGTTAATTTGAAGTTAAAAAGGGTTTGTTTGATGAGAAGAACGGTTAATTTGACGGGAAAGAATATTGAAAATTAAAAAGGGATAATTTAATGTAAAAAAGGGCTAATTTGACAGAAAAAAGCTATAATGTTAGAATTAAATTTTCTTCAAACCGCCAACTTCCTCACATAGGTAATTTTATAACCTTTAGAAGCTGTTTTAAACAATGTGATTTATTTTATGTAATTGTTATTGTAACTGTTAAATATTTTCTTCACCGTCAAATACATGTTACTTATATAATTCAAATATTACATAAGTTTAGGATAGTGGAAAAAGAAAGAGAAAGATATTGTGGAGGAAAGAAAGAGGGAGTTAAATTTCGGTCCTTAAGCCTTCGGTCCTTAATTTATTTAGTGTTCTGGCCATTTAGCTCACATAAATTTTAATTAACGAGTATGACGTTTATGTCGTTAATTAACTATTCATTAAGAAGTAATCTCCTAGAAGGGTTTTAATTTTTTTGCAATTTCTCTACCCTCTTTATATGCATAACAATGGTCAATTTTTATGGAAATGGATCAATTGAACTGTTGGTTTCTCATGCATTCAAGGGTAGTTAACGTTATACAATATACGATCATTGTATACATTATCTTAATATGAATAATCTCGAAACAAATGTAACTAATTGTTTTGAAATAACAATATTTATTGTGTGATTTATGGTGGGCACGAACCAACTGTCATACATATGTTACAATTATTCACATTTTATATTAGACTAGATTTTACGTTCTTGTGCTTGTGAGTTGAAACAATCACTCATTGAGTTATTTCCGTTCTCACAGTTATTTAGACCAACGTGGCATTTAAGCGTGTGATGAAATTGTTTCGCAATTGTACAGTCATAGTCGAGCAACTTGTACAAAACTTAGTGCAATATTTCAAATGTTAATGTAAAAACTACTTTTAAATTAAAATACTGAAACGCTATTGGTATTTCCTGAACTATTGCTTATTTATAAGTAAAAAAAATTTTAATTATTTATTTATTTTTTTAATTCACTATGTTATGACTATTTTTTCAATTTTAAAAATTTAAAAATTACAAATTTAGGTTTTTGCTAAAAAGTAATGACATTTGTTTCTTAGCGATAGCTATTTTTAAAAATTCTTAGTGACAAATTATTGCGCTAAAAAAATAAAACAAGGAAAGACTAGTTCTAATATGTCAAACAGATTTTGAAAAAATGGCATTGAAAATTGCAAATTTTTGTCCTTTGTTTGAACACTTAAAAGAACTTGACAAATACCTGAAATAAGCATACAAGTTCCTGTAAAAGAAATACGTATCAAAATGGAAATCCAACCCGTAAAGAAAAGAAATGGAAAATAAAAACACATCTGATCGTACGAAAAACGGTTTGAGGGTTAAAATGCATACTTTTCTCAAAATCCTTCATGTTATCAAAATGTATATTTTTTCATTTTGTAGAGGAACAGTACCCAAACAACCGTAAACAAACACTCAGGAAAAGAGAAATAAATATTTTGGTACAAAACAGCAAAGCAATTTTGTAACAAATTTGGGTTGCTACAAAAAATTAATTATTCAATGTTTTTGAAAAACCGAAACCACTAATTTCTAGTATACAGAAGAAAATAAAATTAAAAAAGGATCGGTTGCAATGATTTTGAAAATTTTTCACCCAAAAATTGCAACTTCAAATTTTAGAATTTGATGCTCATCCAAAACGTACAGACTATATTTTTAAAAAAATGCGAATCAAAATTAAAATCCATCGAGTATAAGAGGAGTTATATAAAATAATAAGAAAAAACTATGTTCTTCCGAAAAACGATTACGACCCTCTTAAGGGTTAAAATACATACTTTTCTCTTAAAAGTTGAAAGTACGAAAAACCATCGTTTTTTAGCAATACATTAAAGCATACACTCAGGAACCGTCATATATATTTTTATAATAAAAAGTGTATTTTCCTCACAACTTTAGGGTATCGCATAAAATTAACGACTCATTATTTTTTAAAACCTGTGCTACAAATTCGTAGTATACTAAGTAGGATAAAACAAAAAAAGTTTAGTTATTATAGGCCGCACAGATTTTAACAAAATTGCGTAAATGGCAATATTTTGGGTTCTCTTTGAAGAATTGAAAAATTGCTGAAATATGGTAAAATTATACAATTTGATGCTCAACCAGATGTACAGACTATGTTAAAACTATGTTCAAAATTAAAGTCCATTGTGTAAAAATAGGGTTCAGAAAATAAATAGATGAAAACACGATCCGTGTTTGGATAAACGGTCTATCTAAAAAATTCATAGTAAACACAATTTATACAGATTATTTCTTTAGTTATATAATAGTGTTATTTGACGTAAAACTTTTTAAGTTCTGGAATATAACATGTATATCAATGTTAACGGAAATATTTTAATAAGTAAATCGTATGTTGATTCTAACACTTCAGATGTGCAAGGTTAAAGTTATATAATAATATTTTTTTTTTACGAGGGTTCGCAACAGCAGAGGTCATATAAACCCTCAGGGTGCTGGTGTTTTTGAAAAAAAGCCCATTTGTAAGTATGTCGGGTTCGAATGCAGGGCCGCTGGATTCGAACCCGGGACCTTTACCTTACAGTGATGAGGGCCGTGTCAAAGACTAAACCTTGCGGCCACCGACGCCCCCCTAGGTTAAAGTTAAGACTACTTAATAAGACAAGGGGATAGATTAAATTGAATTGTTTTCTTTCCAATCAAAGAGGGTAATCCGCTAGAAATGCTTTATATGTACATCGGTCAGCTAATCTCGAGGGCGACTCTTTAATCCCGTCTTATGTTTCTGTTTCAGGTGGTGTGTAATGAGGTAACACCGCATTATGGGTAGGTGGATGGTTCCACTTGCCTTACTCCTCCTTCCTATTCTGACGAGTTCCAGTCCGACGTTCAGCAAATCTTCATACAATGCCACGATATACGAGAACTCCCGTGGCAAGACGTACGTGATGTGCCCTGACAAGATGGGCATCGAGCTGAAGGGCGAGGAACCTGTCGACGTCAGATACAAAATTGTCGGAGGAGACAGGGACAGATTTTTTAAAGCTGAAGAAAAAGTCGTCGGTAATTTCGCCTTCTTAATGGTGAGGATAAGGACCGGGAACACGGACGTGTTGAATAGAGAGAGAAAGGATAAATATACACTCCGTATAAAGGCCACTCTTACCAAAAGAGGCGTCAAACCGGTCGACGTCGAGACCATTTTGTACGTAGCTATATTAGATAGAAACGATTTGAATCCCCTTTTTTATCCTAATACTTACGATATCGTCGTTCCGGAAGACGCCAACTTACACGAGAGCATAATAAAAGTGAACGCCGAAGACGCGGATTTAGGGAAAAACGGCCAGCTCTATTTTTATTTCAAAGATAAAACGGAACAATTTTCTATTCAGCCCATGTCGGGTATTATAACCCTGACTAGAAAGCTGAGGTATGCTGAAAAATCAGTCCACCACTTGACGGTGGTGGCGAAAGATCGAGGAGGCGGTAAGCCCAGTTTCGGGAAAGTGATTGTCAGAGTGAAGCAGGTGAACCTCTTCGGCCCCGACATCTACGTCCACACTCTTCCCTCGATCGTAGAAAACGCCAGAACCAGTATTTACGCCATTGTGCGCGTTCTAGACCAAGACGAAGGCGTCCACGGGCAGATCAAAGCTCTCGAGATAGTCGACGGCGATCCGGATGGAAATTTTTTCATAAGACCGATCAAAAACGATAAAAAAACAGGGTACGAATACAATATAGAATTAATGCACATGCTCGACAGGGAGAGCGCGCCGAAAGGGTACAACCTGACTTTGAGGGCAGTGGATAACGGCTCCCCCGCCAGGTACACTTACAAAAGCGTCCCCGTCGTAATTTCCGACATGAACGACAACCCTCCTATATTCGATAGAGACTTCTACGAGGTGGATATTTCGGAAAACACACCCCCAAATTCTCCTATCGTCAGGGCTAAAATCACAGACATTGATTTAGGAGAAAATGGAATGGCCAATTTTGAAATCCTGTCCAACGAGGCTGACGGAAAATTCACGATAAACCCTACTACAGGGATGATTTATACTGACAGTTGGTTGGACGCGGAAAAAAAGAGCGTCTACACGTTGACTGTTTCTGCTACGGATAGGGCGTACATCGGAGCTAGAAAACAGTCGTACGTCACGGTAAAAATAAACGTCATCGACGCCAACGACAACGACCCCGTTTTCGAATCGTCCGAGGTGACGCTTTATGTCAATGAGAACGAACCCGCCGGTACTTCTGTCGCTATCATCACGGCAAAAGACGACGACAGCGGTGAGAACTCCTACATATCTTACAGCATCGCCAACCTTAAAACTGTCCCGTTCGAAATCGACCATTTTTCCGGTCTTGTTAAAACTACCCATGTGCTCGATTACGAATCGTCGAAGCGAAACTTCATTTTAAAGATAAGAGCGTCTGACTGGGGACTTCCGTACAGAAGACAAACGGAAATGCAGCTGAAAATAATAGTGCGCGACGTGAACGACAACAGGCCGCAATTCGAAAAGGTCGATTGTTTAGGTCATGTACCGAAAACTGTCCCGATCGGTACCGAACTTTTGACCTTGTCCGCTATCGATTTCGACGCCGGAAGTATAATAAGCTACAGGATGCTAACGGGAAATGAAGACGACTGTTTCTATTTAGACGCGGCGACGGGCATTCTGACATCGACTTGCGATTTGTCAGATCTCAAAGTGAACAAAAGAGACTTAAACGTGACAGCTACCGACACAGTTCATTTCGCGGACACGTCGACCATAACTATAAAACTAATGCCTGTCAAAAAGAATCTCAGTTTAGATCCAAAATTATGGTTCAAATGTCAGGACACTGGAGTCGCGAGAAGACTGACCGAAGTGCTCGCCTCAGCTGAGAAGAACAACGTGGACATCGAAGAATTCGCCATGATGCCGAGCAGGTACGGTCAAAACGCCCATAACCCCGAGTTTATAGATTTTCCCGTACAAGTGGTCGTTAACGAATCCGTTCCGATCGGAACTACCCTTATCAACATAAAAGCCAACGACAGAGATCTTGGGTATAACGGAAAATTAATATTTGGCATAAGTTCCGGTGACACCGATTCAGTTTTCAGAATCGACCCGGATACAGGTGATCTCAAAATTGTCGGGTTCTTGGACAGAGAACGCGAAGAGGAATACCTTTTGAACATAACCGTCTACGATTTAGGAAAACATAAAAAAAGCACTTCTAGATTCTTACCTGTGACTGTTTTGGATATAAACGATAACCCGCCCAAATTTGAAAAATCCATCGCTAGCTTTCGTGTAACGGAAAATGCCATCAACAATACTGCAATCTACACGGTAAATGCGACAGACGTCGATCTCGGGGAAAATTCCAGAATTTCCTTTTCCATAATAAGCGATTCGAAAGGGTTCAGAATCGATCCTAAAACGGGCGTTTTATACGTCGATGGAGTTTTAGATAGAGAGGAAATGAATTACCACGAGGTTACAATACGTGCAACAGACTGCGCAGGGACGCACCGTAGAGATGCTCTTTTTTCAGACTCCTTGGTCAAAATATACGTGGACGATATTAACGACAACGTGCCAAAATTTTCTGGTGACAAATTTAAAGTAAAGCTACCTGAAGACGTACCCGTCGGTGTCGTGGTGGCGATAATTTCCGCGACGGACCCCGACCTTGGAGAAGGAGGTGTTATCAACTATTCATTTCCAGACGATTCCGACACTTTTGAGATAGACAATTTGACCGGGACGGTCAGAACGACGAAATCCCTCGATTACGAATTCATCCAGTCTTATACGTTAACAGTCCAGGCAGAGGACAACGGAGTCCCATCGCTCACTTCCACAACTGTTCTCACGGTCGACATTTTAGACGTTAACGAAAACGACCACGCGCCTGTTTTTGCGGATGCGGTCGTCTCGGCAAAAGTGCTGGAAGAACAACCTGTCAACACCCTCGTAACAACTGTTCGGGCAACCGACGCAGACCCACCAGGAAGGGACTCGGACTTGTCCTACAGGATTATCAGCGGCGACGGGATTGGCTACTTCTGGATTGACAATCAAGGTCAGTTTATTTACTTACTTTTACTTTTTATATAATGATGTACGAGTGTTATCTACTTTTCCTTGATGCATGCACTCGGTGAGAAAAATTTTTGATGGGGAGTGACAAACTAAGAAATGTCGAAAATATTTATTTAAAAAAAAACTAGAAAACCTCCTGCACCTTTTAGTTGTAAAAGTTGTATTTTTTAACTTAAACTTCTTCTGGTCTATATAATAATATTACTGAAACAACCTCAAAAAATTGATTTTGCTCGTTTTTAACGGTTTCTGAGCAAACTATGGCAAATACATGAAAAAAGTCATTTTTGGTTGTTCGAAAAAGCATCGGTTGTTCAATGGTTTCATTAAATAAAAAAAAACTTCAAGTTATCCAGCTCTTTTCCTTTTTATTAATTATTAAATTTTCTCTCGTCTGTATTCTAGTTTTATGGATGTTCGAAAAAACACCCCTTGTTCATCGATTTTTTAAAATGAAAAATACTAAATACCTTCCAGCACTTTTTGGTTAGAAAGGAAACCTTGTAGTTATAAAAAATCTTTCCTCAATAAATGTTATAATGTTTAAAACAGACAAAATGTTTGGTTTTACTAGTTTCAAGGTTGCTGAGAAATTAGGTCAAATAAACGGAAAAACGTCATTTTAAGGATGTTCGAAAAAATACCCCTTGTTCAACGATTTTTTTAAAATGAAAAATACTAAATGTATTCCAGCATTTTTTGGTTACAAAAAAGCTTTGTATTAAAAGAAACCACTTTCCTCTATAAATCTTCTAATGTTTAAAAAACACAAAATACTTGCTTTTGATGGTTTTATGGTTTCTGAGAAATTAGGTTAAATAAACGGAAAAAACCTTCATTTGTTGTATTGTATATTCTGAAAAACGACCGAATCCTCAAAACGTTCTACCTAATATTGGGAAAGAACAAAGAAGGAAAAATCTCAGATTCCAGGTTATGAACTTACTTGTATATTTCCAAAATAGGAACAACATGGATTTTAATCCTTTTTGCATCTCGATATGAATTGCAAAAGCGGACCCGCTGATACCCCCGCCAACGCGACGTTCCAATGAGAAGCTGGTTTTTTAATGGCGCTCAATTTGAACATGCGAAAAATGGGAATTATAACTCAAATAAATATTATAATAGTAAATACTGTAAGAAATTAATTATAAATTAGTGATTAAAGATAAAAGATAAAAAATGGGAATGATACCTTAATATTATTAAGTTATTACAAAAATAATAATAATTAAAATGATTAATTTAATTCTTTGGACGTTTAATATTATTTATGTACATATTTAAAATGGGAGGTAGATCAAAATCTGTTATATTAGCAATGAATATATCACCATGTTCAGTTTTACATTTTTTAATTTCAAATTTCTCAAACCAATTTAGATCTCTACCTTTGTTGAAACTATGTAACACTCTTGTATTCAAATTTGAATCGAAATTATGTTTTGTTTCTTTTAGATGGTCCTTAAATTCCGAAAATTTGCTCGATTTAGGCAAGTGTTCTTTTACTATCGTTTTTATTTCTCTACCGCTTTGTCCTATATATTTAATATCACATTCATTACAATTGAGTTGGTAAACCCCGCTTTTTGCCAAGTTGTCTACCTTGTCTTTAGGTTTTGAGAGGATGTTTTTAGGTAAACCCGTACTTCTAAAAGCTATTTTAAAACATTCTTGTTTAAAAATTTTACTAACTTTTTCCGATAATTCACCAATGTATGGCAAACAACGGAAACCTAATGATTCATTTATGGTGGGACGACTGAGTCCTATTACTGATTCGTTTAAAGTTAATTTTTTTATTCTTTTAACTAGCAACCTATCAATAAATATTTTTAGATACCCGTTGTTTTTTGCTAAGGTTTTAATAGTTTCTAATTCTTTTTTATGGTTAGCAGGTGTTAATGGAAGTTTTAACATACGGTCTATGAGCCAAATGAAACCAGCAGTATCATTCTAATTTTTTATCTTTTATTTTTAATCACTAATTTATAATTAATTTCTTACAGTATTTACTATTATAATATTTATTTGTGTTATAATTCCCATTTTTCGCATGTTCAAATAGAGCGCCATTACAAAACCAGCTTTTCATTGGAACGACGCGTTGGCGGGGGTATCAGCGGGTTCACTTTTGCAATTCACGTCGACAGACGTGTTTATAGAAACCCTTCAACCTGATGATGAGCTAAAGGGCTCGAAATCCGGATTGTTGCGAAACAACTTACTGTGAGTAGGAACCATCTTTTTAAAAAAAGGATTGAACACTACACTCACTCCATCATTTATCATTTCTATCAACATGGATTTTCGTTTACGGGTACGGTTACTATTTTCCCCAAAGAAAAAACTTCTTTGGCAATATTTCAGATAGTCTCTTCCACGCCGAGAAATTAGGAATGTTATTAGTGGGCTACCTCCACAATGCAGCCGGTCACACGGATAAGAAATATTACCGGTCTATCTCCTTTCTCGTTTGATCAATCAATTTATACATCGCGTTCCCCGTTGCGAGATATATTGGACAGGTAAAAAGGTTCTCAGTAATAAATTCAGCAAGGGCACTGGGGAATAAATTGAATGTGTTGCAGGTATATTGTAAAGGGATGAGATTTGTCTTCCTCTTCATCCCGTCGCGGCCCGTTATCTATTTATGCAAAAATACTCCCTTGCCCACTTCCGTCTGCGGAAAACTTTCCCGACTGGGAAGAAAGCTCGTCTAACTTCGCTTTTCATGTTCGGCATATTTTAATAACTTTTTAATCCCATTTTTCTTTTGCCTGCCAACTAAGCTCTTCACCTCTGTTATAAATCAAATTCAATTGTTTGCCTATTATTTTAATCATCCCTGAAATAATAGAATCTTCACTGCGGTCTGACACCTTTATAAATTTTTACATCCCACCATCTTTATGTGGTTTTGGTCAATTTATTCCGTGATACTTCACTCGTAGCATGTCAATTCCTGTCGAGTTGAGCTTCAAACTTAACCTATCAACGATTCATCTCGTTAAGTCTATCTATTTTCGGAAACGGATTCACGCCATAGAACGCTTGTTACACTGAAAAAAAAAAAATCAACTGCTCCTGAGGTTCGATAAACCATTATTTTATTCCGTCAAATTAACCTTTTTTAACTTTCAAATGACCTCTTTTCATTACCTCTAAATAAAGGATTAAAAAAAGTTAGAATATGGTGTGAAATACAAGCGTATAAAGTTATAATAATAAAGTGGGAACTTATAAGCCAACAAACAGCTGACGTCTTTGCCGGTGTTATGCGCGTTTTCTTTTCTTTTCTCTTCTTTTGACCAAATTTTAACAAGATTGATACACTAAATCAAGTTGAAGTAGTGACAGGCCAAAGTCGCGTGTTTTGTTTTCAACTGCATCCATTTGAGCGTCTCGTTCTGGTTACTAAAAAAGAGGTAAAATGCGAAAAGTTGTAGGTTGAGATGGGAGTTGGTGTCCGAGTTGATCGAAGTCACGATAGGTCATGTGGTGTTGAGCCGAAGGTCGTCCGTTCGAATCCCGCTCGTCTCACTTACTTTTTCATCTCAACCAAAACCTTACCTAAAAAGAATAATTAATTGAAATAATCAATACGATCAATTAGACCACTAAAAATAAATAGCTTTATTTTTATGTTGAATTATATACAATTTTAATTTTCATTTCTTATTACATTAGTCAATAATTAAGGTTTTTTAAGAGTCCAATTATTATACATTTTTTAAAACGTTCGCATTTAAGCAGGAATTTTTAACGTTAAGCGTGAGTATAGAATGAACCCAAGGTAGCGTACGCAATCGGATTTGGAAATAGGAACGTTGCATTATATTGTGAGAGTAAATGTTCTTCGAAGTGTAAATGTGACATGGACGCACTTGCTTTCATTTATCTTCATTTTATGTTGTCTACTTCTATGTGTCTTGAATCTGCTATACAATAGTACAGCTGTACCATCGACAAAAGATGCAAGAAGGGTGGTAGGTTTAGTGAGAGCATCTGCAGTATGGAGTATATAGCTTATATAGGATTGGTCCGATCACACTGCCCTGTGGAATTTGAAATTAAAAAAGGATAATTTAATGTTAAAAAGTATTAATTTGAAGTTAAAAGTGTTTACCTGTAAGTAATGGTTAATTTGAATGGCAGAAAGTTAGTTTGAAGTAAAAAAAGGTTAATTTGACGAAAAAAGGCTATGTCAAGGCTATTGAGAAGAATAAAAATCCAAAAGTTAGTGAGTCTAGCAGCCTATGAAGGATCTGGAAAAAACATCAGTACATATTATTTGCTACATGTCAATGGCTGACAAGAAAAGGTTTTTTTCTGATGGTCAAAGAAACGATGATAATACATAAAATAAACTGGAGCGCCTCGGAAAAACGGTGGTTGTTTTCTGGGTCCCTGGACACTTGGAGAGTAACGAACGCGCCGACGCGGCGGCGAAAGCCGGAATGTCTCACCCTCTCGACCGGACCATCGCGATCAGGCCCTCTGATGCTGAACGAGCTGTAAAAAAGACGATAAGGGGATAAATGGCAGCGTCAGTGGACACGGTCATCCGAGAGGCTCCTTCCTGTTAAGAGCACGAAAAAAAGGAATAGTTCTTGCCAGATTAAGATTAGGTCATAATAGGACACTTGCTAGTGGGCCAATTCCCAGATGTCCCTCATGCAGAGAAAGATTGTTCGATGTGTTCCACATAATTGAAGCATGTCGTGCCTTGGCTCCCCCCCCCGGTAGGCATGCCGCCAGATTTAAAAGGGGTTCACGGACACAGCAGCGATTTTCAGGGTCCCCTGGTCAACGTTTTAAGAGAATTGGGAGTTTTTTTATTGTATATAGAAGTTCAATTATGTGCTTTGTGTTTCTGGTTCTGGCATGAGTGAATGTATTTATTGGTGTGAATTGGCTGATGGTGAAGTAGGTTCTCCACGACCCCTCAGGTTGTGTGTATGACTTTGATTGATG